GGATCACAAGTTTGATTCCTGGTCAAGGGCATGTATCTCATTTGCAGGTTCGATCCTTCGCCCTGTTCGGGGCACATGTGGGAGGCAACCAATTGATATGTCTCTCTCACGTCTGTATTTCTCTCTTTTTCTCTCTGCCCTCCTCCTCCTTCCCTTCCATTCTGTATGAAAATGGAAAAAAATATATCCTCAGGTGGAGATTAAAAAAATAAATTCTAGACAAGAATATGTACCAAGTAGCATTCTAAAGGCATTGTATATTTCAGAGAGAGGATACAGATATTGATTGCCTTTAGAATGTGTTTAGTTAAGCACACATGCTTTTTTTAAAAAAATCTCAAGGGAAACCACTAAAAAAAATAGAAATCCTTCTGCATGAGGAAGTGGGAGGTGGGAGAAGGAGAGAGGAAGGAATTAAACTAAACCAACAAATGCTGAAGTTCTCAGCTGTACCTAATAATGAAACAGTCTCCTTCCTATTTAAGAAGTTGATGATATTTTTCTAAAACCTAATTGTAATGTGTGTGTGTGTGTGTGTGCACGCGCGCGCACATTTTGGCCAAGAGTCAGTGAATATCCCCACTGCAGGAAAGCCCTCCCCTTCCTGCCATTTCATTCTCTCCTTTGGATATATTTTTCCAGGAAGTTCTTCTGATTGATCCAAGCAGCTGCAGAGCAGAGAGCAAGGAAATTCCCAGGTGCTTCCCAGGTTGAACAACAAGAATAGACACTACCAACATCACATCTGCCAGGGTCTCCAACATCAGCTGTTCTCGAAGGTGCCAAGAAAGCCCAGACACCTATCCCCACCGCTGCCTTCTGCAGCAACCACAGGGCAGAGAGAGGGTGGAGCCATGAGCCAAAGGCCAAGAACACAGTGTTTCTTCCACCAAGAAGCCTGGTCGGCTCAGGGAGGGGATGCCAAGCTCTGACTACAGGGTGTTTTGTTTTGTTTTTTGTTTGTTTTGTTTTGAATATGTTTTTATTGATTTGAGAGGGAGAGACAAAGAGAGGGAGAGAGAGATAGAAACATCAGTGGATAGGCTGCCTCCTGCATGCCCCCTACTGGGAATTGAACCCAAAACTCTGGCATGTGCTTAGACCAGGAGTTGAATCAGTGACCTCTTGGTGCATGGGATGATGCTCAACCAATTAAGCCACATTAGCCAAGCTGATGACTGCAGTTTTTAAAATGAACAGGACTGGGTTTTGAACATCAAACCTGAGACCATTTTAATGACCAAGCTGTGGAGTCTGGAATCTGGTCCTGATGGTGAAGGATCCAATATCCAGTGGAAGTAGGGCGTTTACAAAACCCCTACTGTCAGAGCACGCAAGAGCTCTGCACAAGCACTGCTGCTCTGAGTTGTTCTGAGTCCATGTATTCTTCTAAATTCTCCCCTTCAACTACACCAAGCACAAGGCAGGCTCCTTCTCAAACCCTGCCCACTGTACTAACTGTTGGGAACTTAGTCCAAGTTCCTCCTTTATCTTCTGCTCACTAGTTACAGGTATTGGGTCCAAGCCCCCCTGCCTGGGGCTGGGCCTCCGGTCAGAGAAACAGGTCAATTCTTGGCGGAAGGGCAGATGGAGAAGCCATGAGAATTGACCTGTGTATATATATATAGTAGGTATATAAGAATGAGTCTTTATTGCAGAAGCCAGTGGCCACATAGCTATCAGACAAGATAATTCTTTACAGCAAAGTCCATACAGGCAAGCAGCCAGACACCGGCTGGTGAATACATATTTTTCTCACATAGTAGCATTAATCTCTGTACCCACAGTTAGTATCTGAGCAGCCGCATGCTGCCCCAGACTCACCGCCTTACATCGTAGCCATGTCAGCTCTCAGCTCTGTCTGAGCTCGCTAGCCTCTCCTGCACACATAGGAGCTGCATTCTCTGTGCCTATCTTCTCTGAGCTCTCTCTAGCTCTGCGCTGCCCAGCTCTCTCTGCTCTGTCTAGCTGACTTCTTCACACACAGTCCTTCTGGTCAGTGACCTGTATATTACTCCAGAGACAAAGAAGGCTAGTTGCCAACAGTGCCATCTATCATTTGGATTACAGAAGGGCACAGTGCACCGTGTGTCTTTGCACCCGCTCACGGTGTCTTGGCCTGATTACGATTCCCAGGCTCGGAGGCTGATAAGGGTTCCCAGGCTCAGGGCAGCCTTGACCAGCTGGTGCACTCTGAACAGCGTCCCCACACCAGGTCAAAGCAGTGGTGAGAAAAGAAAACTAGAACCATTTCCTGTTTATACTCTAAATGGTTTTAAATTCTTCAAAAAATGTATTATATAAACATAGGTTTGGGTTATTGCCTAACCCCGTGTCAGGGTCGTGATTCATTTTCATCTGTATATATACAGCTTTGCCGCCAAGACTGAGTTGTGCAAATAGACAACTAGCGGTTGGTTTTTCTAAGTGAACAAAAGCCAGGGGAGGGGGCGTGACATCTGATGTCCTACAAATAAGGAAAACAAAAATTCAGAAACTTGGAAGGAAATTCACAGGATGAGGAAGAGGAGGACAGGGAGCCAGAAAGTGGGGGTGTAGAGGGACCGAGGTGGGGGGAAGAACATCTTTCCTCAGAGATTTAGAAACTTTAGAGGAAAAATAAGAAATTGCCAGACTCCAACAGTAAAAGACCATTTCATGCAAAAACGACCGAAAAAGGGGGAGCGAGGGGACAAGTTGACATTTACTTACTAGAATGAAAAATTAAAATAATTTCTAACTGATCTGGCCATAAAAGGACTGGCTTGGAAACTCTGGAGCACAGAAATTAATAGCATTAATTCCTGATTTCTAAAGAAGAAAATAAAGATGCTTCCTCTTTCCAGTATCTTTGCTACTGCCCTGCTTGTCTTTTTATTTCTTTTTTCTTTTTCTTTTTTTTAAAAAATATATTTTATTGATTTCTTACAGAGAGGAAGGGAGAGGGATAGAGAGTTAGAAACATCAATGAGAGAGAAACATCGATCAGCTGCCTCTTGCATACCCCCTACTGGGGATGTGCCTGCAACCAAGGCACATGCCTTTGACTGGAATCGAACCCCGGATCCTTGAGTCCGCAGGCCAACGCTCTATCCACTGAGCCAAATCGGTTAGGGCTCCATTGATTTTTAGAGTGGGAGGGAGGGAGAGAGGCCTATTACTGGTTGTCTCCGGTACATGCCCTGACCCGGCTGGTGATCGATTGAGCCTGAAACTAAGGTAGGTACATGCCCTTGACCTGGAATGGAACCCAGACCTTCTTATGCATAGGCCAATGCTCTAACCACTGAGAAACATCAGCCAGGGCCACTCGGTCTCTCTTAAGACTACTCAGCTCTGCCCTTGTAGTGTAAATAATGCATAAACAAGTGCCTGTGGCTATGCTCAATAAAACTTTACTTACAAAAATAGGTGGCAAACAGAGTTAATCCTCAGGCTGTAATTTGGCAACTGCTGTCCAATACCCCTGTTTACTGCTTCAATACTCTGAAGTATTTCTGCCTCATGTCTGTGACCTTTCGTTACACAAGCTCATGTACAAATCTCTAAGGGTGATGCTAGTGGGAGCCCTGAGGAGACACTCTGGGCCTTCCACTCTCAAATCCTCGCTTCTCCCCTACCCCAACCCCATTCCCTCCCCACCCCCACCCCTCAAGGCCTTGCCCAGTCCATTAGCACAGCCTCTGAGGCTGTATTATGCGCGGGTAAAGGTGGGGCTCTGGGCCAGGTGGCTTTAAGACCAGTTCTTCTCCTGTGGGTCTGCTAAGCAATAAAACCTGCCTCACAGAGATTTCAAAGTCACAATGGAGATGCAAGGCTGCTTGCCATGTTGGACTCGAGAACAGAATCTGTCACACTTTAATTCTACAGACCATAACCTGCTTTCCTACCCTTCAGAAATCCTTACATCTCTATATTTACATATGTATTTTGGACAAAAAGGAGTCACATGCTAACCTGACAAGCTTAGGGAAGGCCTGTGTAACTCAGAGACCTACAATAACCACAAAGGATGATATGAAATTAAAATTTTTTTAACTAAAAAGCAGTTTATGGTGGATAGTCACTCTGTGGAGACCACACATCTCCTCATTACTATTGAGTTAACTATTGACTGTTAACTATCCTGCACCCACCTAAATAAAAGAAGTATGTGTTTATCATTTTACTTTGTATTCAATCCCAGAGGTTTCCCTGCTTTGCTTTCTCCCACCTCCCTAATCTATCACCAATGGATTTCATGTAACCCACTTACTTCTCCTCTTTTGATTATAATGTATAAGGTGCAAAACTGCCATTCTCCAGATCATTATCTCAATCTGTTGAGATTCTGCTTCCTGGCAATTCTCAACAGTTTGGCTTAAATAAACTCAAAAAATTCTTTACAGGTTTGAATGTTTCTTGCATTAACAGTATCTATGTGTAAAGAGAATGAAAAAGGTGAAAAACAAATTGATCATATCATTTACAATGAAAATGAGGAATGATAATAGGCGTGTGTGTGTGTGTGTGCACACGCGCACGTGGGCAGAGAGCAAACCAACACTAATATAGCTGCAAGGAAGGAGAGCCACCTAACCCGTGCGAGTTTGCGAGGGAGGGAGGGAGGGAGGGAGGGAGAAAGAAGGGAGGGAGAGAGAGAGAGAGAGAGAGAGAGAGAGGAAAGTGGGGAGAGGAAGGAAGCTAAATTAGGGGGAAATCTTGTTCCATGCTTCACATAGTTCTGTAAATCCCACGGGTCAAGGTTGCAGATACCTAAAGATAATCTCAGTAGGCAAAAAAATTCTAAGTATATGAGAGTAATTTTCACTTTACACAGAATGTCATAAAAAGCAGTTTTGCCACTTGGGATATAAAGCAGAATGTAATTCAATTTCGTCTTATTGGGACCTTGTTTCCTTGTCACAGATCAGCTCTCATGTAATTCCACATGTATCAACACAGAGAAAGACCGTTCATGGCACACCTTTCTTAAGCAAAGAGAGACCACATCCTTGTTGTTTTAAAGTATTTGTTATTATTGTTTCTATTTAATCAGCCTTCACTGAATTAAGGGCACTGGGGTGAGGATGGTGAGGAAAGGAAGAGGGGCTGGACAGTGGTCTAAGGAGAGACAAGTATGAGGGACAAGGCAGTGAGGGGCCCTGGGAGAGTGCACTGTGGTCTCCACAGGCCCTGAGCTACTCTGGAGGGACAACGGGGGTCCCGGCGGGGTCTCTGGCCACTCACTGAACCGTGGCAGACGTGGTCTTCTCCTTGGAGGGAGAGGTCGGCACTGAATTCTCCCCTCGTAGCCTCCTCTCGGTTTCTTCCTCACCCTAAAACAGACAGGGGTGAGTCACCTCTTGGGGAGAAAAGGATGGGGCAGAGGCAGCTTCACAGAACTTGAAATCAGGAAAAGGAGAGGAAGGGAAAGGTAACAGACGGTAACAGAGGAAGGGGTGCT